TGTAGGGGCATCCTAATTAATTAGTTGGATAATGTCAGGATGCAGAGAATTTAAATGGCACAAGAGTAACATTAAAATAAAATATGAAACTACTAAAAGTTGCAAGTTACCAGCCCATGTACTGGTAAACTGTATTATCCGGTTGTTATAACATAATAATTCTGAATCTGATGTATTTTCATGTTCTTCTGCAAATTTTAATTTACCTCAAAATAGGGCACATGAGCTAAAATCAGCACAATTAGAAGTTTAGTTCATAATTAAAAAAATACCTCACTTTCAAATAACCTGAGTTTCTGAAACTGAATCAGAAATTAACCTATATGTTAAATGATTTAATACAAAACTTGTACGACTATTCAACTTTCACATTTTCTGCCTCCCCGCAAAACTTCATATACAGCAGAAAACCTGATCATTAATAGCAGTGTGTCAAGGCTATATCAAGAATGCCAACACTTCATATAACATTTTAAAAGTAATGATTAATCTTGCCTTGAAATGGTTGTGCTTGAATTAATTATGTGAAATATATCTGAAGTGAAGAAATTTTCCTACACTTAGTAGCATCATACTCCCTATTAACAATCAGTCCTGCAACTGAAATTTCTTTCAAATTGGAAATTAAAAATTAGTAGAGTAGTAAATTCTTACCTCGTCTTGAGACTCTCCAATAGCAGCAGCCATTATTCAGAGAAGATAAAATTAAGAGATTATGCATCGGAATAAAGTAATGAACTCAATAAAGTTGAACTAAATCCGGTAAATTCGATAGTCTTATACAAAACGCCACAAAACATGTAGTACAGTTGATTCTCAATTTCAGTATGCAGAATAACCACAGAATTTTTTTGAAAATCTCAGGCACTGCTTGCAACTTCCAGTAAAGATTTCAAGTGCTCAAAATCACACGTGTTTCAGTAATAATGCAGTAGACTGTACACATTTTCACCACATAACACTCTACTTCATTACTTTCCCCACTAGCCTACAATAGAAAAAGGATTGCTTACTTCTAGTGGCAAGATATGTCTCACTGCTTAACAATAAGCAGCATGACTAGAATGTAATAATTACATAACTCTCAGGGTTCAATGCAGCATGGATAGCATCTATTTCTAGATTTCTAATCATATACAAACAACAACTACAAAAAAAAAACTCTGTGGTTTTAGTCTGCAAGCGAACTATACTGACCGAGCGACCGCCGCTTGTCAGTGAAGTTAGTGCCAACTTTAGCGGATAGAGGGTGTAGTGTGGTCAGCCCAATGAATCCCCGTGGCCATTAATTTCAATTTTCTAGACCGGACCCGATATTTCCTTGAAATAGCTCCTCAGTTATTCTCACAAGGCTGAGTGGACCCCGTTCCAGACCCACTACTTCTCAGAAAATCTGGTAGCACTTGGAATCGAACCCGGACCTCTGGGTCTGTAGCCAAGAATCCTGACCACTAGACCACAGAGGCAGTCGATTTTTAATCAAATATTTTTTTAATTATCTGTGTTGTTTCTTCCTTGAACTACCATGGCCAATGAAGAGCACAACAGAGTCTTAAACGAACATGTGTTCCATGAAACTTGATTCTTTTGCAGAAACTGATCTGATGGATTTGTTCCATTGAACTTGATTAACTCATGAAGAAAGTTGTCTTCTGGGTTTAGGCACCGTGTATTCTTCGTTTTGGCCGACGTTTCGGAGGAACGTAGCGCCTCCATCTTCAGAGCAGTTGAATAGCTGCGGAGAGCAGTAGCTGTGGTGATAGGATGTGGAAGGTGCTGCTTATATACGAAATAGGCAGGGGGGGTGGTTAGGGAGAACGGACCAATGGGAGCAGTGGAGAGCGATTAAGGCCATATATGGTGTGTGACTAAGGGCGAGGGGGAACGGTCAGTGAGTACAGGAAACTTGAGGTCAATAGCACTAGGAAGTGCGGTAGTCAAAACCGGTAGGTTGAGGACAGGCTATTGACGTCAATGACATGACGAAGAACTGGTGTGGCTTGTAGGATTCTCTTGAGGGAAAGGATGTTTCACGTCTGTCGAGATTGTTGAGAGCGATAAAGGCCATATGATGTG